CGGCGGCGGGTGGCCCCTTTGGCCTGTCCTTCGACAGCCATTTCCCTGACCTCATTAGCGAGCTGATGACCGAGGGAGCCGAGGCGGGCGGCGCACACAGCCCAGAAGGCACCAGTCCGGGGTCGGAGAGCCCTGAGCCGGTCCTCCCCGAGCCCCTGGCAGAGCCCTGCTATGCGGCGGAGGGTGTCTTGGGGGGCTCTGCCCAGCCTCCGGTCTCCATCACCGACTTCTCGCCTGAGTGGTCCTACCCAGAGGTGGGTGCGCGGCTGAGGAACTCTGGGAGGCCGCATGGCTAGAGGGGTCCAGAAGGCCTGGGCTGGACTGGACTGGAGGGACCAGTGGGCGAGCGGGCAGAGTGCGGGGGGGCTGGCCACTCCTCGCTGAGGCCGAGCATGCGGTGAACTGCCTCCGCCAAGGTGAGCGGTTGGGGCCTCGGGTGGAGCAGGGCCCCTCTTCTGACAACCCCTTTTCCTCCTGCGGGAATAGGGGGGCGTCAAGGTGTTGATAACTGGCCCCTGGATGGACGAGTCAGAGTCGTACAGCTGCCTCTTTGATCAGATCTCTGTGCCCGCTTCACTCATCCAGTCCGGGGTGCTGCGGTGCTATTGCCCAGGTACAGGAGCCGGGAGTGGGCGGGGGGAGGCCTGGCCCAGCCCCTCCCAGAGCGCGGGGCCAGTCTGCCCCCCTTCACAATGCTCTCCCCTTTCCTCCCGCAGCACATGAGGCGGGTCTGGTGCCGCTGCAGGTGGCACAGGACTCCTGCTTGGTGTCCCCGTCGGTCCTCTTTGAGTACCGGGCTCGGAACTTCTTGGCGCTGCCCAGCACCCAGCTGGACTGGCTCTCCTTGGATGGTGAGTGGGGGGAAGGGACCCAGGTGGGCGGTCCTGGGCTTCTCTCTCGAGGCCTCCGGATTCCTCTTTGCTGCTTGGAGGCCATGGCCACCCAGACCCTTGCGGGCGCGGGCGCAGCCGCAGCAGCCAGGCTGAGGGCCAGGACAACGGGGCCAGTCCTGGAGCTGTGGGGCTGTTTGTCGGAAAAAACAGAGTTTTGCCTGGGCCCGTTCCAGGGTGTCACCTTACAGGGATATTCCTGGCACGCCGGCTGTGCAATGGAAAGGGCTGGGAGGAGCTGGGAGTTTCCATGACGGGGCAGGACAAGCACAGAGTAGCAGGTGGGAGGGCTGCTTTGGGCCCAAGGCTCCCCTCTGGGGAGGGCGAGGCCAGGCTGGCTCCCTCCAGACAATGCCTCCTTCTCCCACCACTCTTCCCAAATCCGGAGCCCCCCGGCCCTGCTTGGCAGAGGACCAGGCATGCGCACCCACATCTGGTTCTCCTTTCCAGAAGCCCAGCTGGCCTCCCTGGGGTCCCCTCGGTGTATCTGGGTGCCGGCTGGCCCTGAGAGGAGCAGGTACCCTGGTTCAGTCCCAAGGGGGGGCAGCCAAACCACCACTAGGCTGAAGGTCCCCTCCAGCACGTGCCTCTTGTGGCCAAGCCGGGTGGGCTGGTGCCTGCTGTCTTTCTGCCTGGGGGGAGCAAAGGGCCCAGGGGCCCGTTTCGGGTGCAGCAGAACTTTTGCACGTGAGAAATTAGCTGCAGGCATAAACTGCCAAATCTTCCTGATGGAAGGCCAGGGGGGACCTTCTGGGCCCCTCACCTACACAGGGAGTTGAACCTCCCGAGTCCAAACGAAAGGCAACAGCCAGCTCGGAGCGCCCTGCAGGAAGAGCCGCATTCAGCCAGGTTATGGCATCGGCTGGCCGCCCGCTTCTGATCCGAAGGGAGGGTGCGAAGTAGGATGAGGCCCCCTGAAAAGACATCATCTTGAAACAATCGGGTCACAGCCTCTGCACATCAGACAATCAGAGCTGCCGTCGCCAATCTGCTGAAGAGGCTTTGAGGGGTTGCAGGGGTCCCCCGAAGAGCGTGCCCTCCGCTCCCAAGTGCACATTTGCGAGCGCGCACACCCGGCCACGTGCTGCCGTGTGACCTGGAAAAATCCCTTTCCGAGGAGGAGTCTTTTATGGACGTGACCTGCCGGATTGCCCCGGCACAGGCACGGCTGGACGTGGGGCGCTCGGCCACGTCGCCCGCATCCCTCGTGGCTGGAAAAAGGGGGCTACAGAGAAGCAGAGCCCTGTTTGGGTGGGGGGAGAGGCTGTGCGGAGGGGGCTTGCCCTCGGCCACCAGCTGCAGGCGAAAGAACTTGCACGCCTGGCCTCATTAAAGGATTGCCGCGTGCCCCTGCCCCCACCGGCGGCTATTTTCGGGAGGTCTGCAGCCTGGTCAGGCTGTCTCTCGTTGGCAGAGGAAGAGCTTGCTTCCCCCCATGTTGGGGGGTGGGGGCAGCAGGCCCCCTTCGCATGGCAGACTGTCACTGCATACCAGGAAGGGTAGCAGTGCCCTGATCTCTGCCCCCCCCCAGCTGGGGGCGGTGCTAACCTGGGATTTCTTTGCCATCCCCGGCGGCTGCTTTTGAGTCCGCTGGAGTTGAGGAGAGCGCTGGGCTTGGGGGTCAGGCGAGGGGCAGCCCGGCGTCCCTGGCAATGCACAGAGCAGGTACGGGGCTTTGGCGGTGTGGGGGGAGGGGGTGTTTTGGTGGCTGCTGGGAGGGAAGGTCCTGCGTCGTGGGGACTTGGGGAGGGGGTTCCCGGAAGCGTCCCTTGCTCTGGGGGGCTGTGTTCCAGCAGCGGGCTTGCTGGGGCTCCACGAGGGTCTGCCGGCGGAAGCAGCCCTCCCCACACCAGGGCCGGCCGCCGGGCTCCTCCAGGTGGGGGACAGCTGGCCGCGCAGCCCGCGGGCAATGAATGAGGCTGGGTGCGTGTTGTGTCGGCAGGGTGTGTCCCGCGGCAAGCCGTCTCGGTCGCTTCGGGTGCGCTCAGCTGTTAACTCGGGTTTTATCTGCTGCGACTCACACGCCCCCAACGTTTATTACGTTTACAAGGTGTACGTTTTCTTCGTCCTGCTTTGTAAAAGCGCGCACGAGTTTTGCTCTGTGAGTAGATGAGGTCGCTTGCTTTCGGCAGAGCGGCACTTGGCTTCGCTTCACCGGGTGGGCTTATTACCCCGGACTTTATTTGAAGGGCCGTAAAGTGCCCCTTCCACCCGCTGAACCCCAGACCTTCCCGCGTTGCGGAGAAGATGCGAGCCCCGCTTCCGGGCTCCCGTTTGGCTTCCCAGGACGGGTCCGTTTGTCCACCGGAGGAGCAGCGGCTACTCTGAGGACCCGCTTGCTCTGGGCCCCCTGTGGATGAGCCCCCTTGCCGAGAGTGCCCCGGGACCCGCCCAGCCCCTCGCCCTGCAGCTTGCACGCTAAACTGCCCCAGCTGTGGGTCAGCTGGGAAAATGAGGCCAGCCTGCTAATCGCCCGAGAATGAGGATTAACCTAACAGGATGTCCTGCAGTCTCCCGGCCTTGCCCCCTTTTCACCTGGGGGCTGGCCAGGGGAGAGGTGGACGGCACTCTCACCGTCCTTTCACCCTCCCCAGATAACCAGTTTAGGATGTCCATCCTGGAGCGCCTGGAGCAGATGGAGAAGCGCGTGGCTGAGATGGCGGCCTCTGCCAGCAACACCCCCGAGGCCCGCCCGCAAGGAGAGAAGCCCCCCGGCCAGGTGAGACGTGGGGCAGGGGCAGGGAGGGGAGGGGAGGGGAGGAGGAGGCTGAGCTGGGTGGTGACCGGAGTGGGGGCATCTCGGCTGGCTGCGTCCACATTCCCTGGACTTGAGGACTTTGCTGTTCTCGGTGTTCTCCGTGCCGGGCTTTGAGGGGGAGAAGCCCCTGATCTGGTCCTGGAGGGGCAGGTTCTCCTCTTTGCGTCTTGGGCAGAATCTTCAAAATGGCTCTGATCTCCCTCAGTTGCTCTTGGCCTAGTCGTGCGCCTGCCCTGTGTTGCTGCTCTCCTGGGGTCTCCTGGGGCCCCTGCAGGCCTCCCATCCGGGGTCGCCTTCGGCGATGCTCTTCCCGGAGGAAAAAGGGCTGTGCTCCAACCCCGCCTCTTCACCCCTTTTGCCCTCGAGGCTGGGCAAGGAGCTTGGGGCTTTGTACGCGCCCTACGCCTGCGTGGGTCGGACCCCTCCAACGCTGCTACTCCCGGGAGAAAGCGCCACGGGGGTTTTGCTCAGGAACAAGAGAACTGAAGGGAAAAGAGGCACAGAGGGGATCATGGTGGTGCCTGCCAGGTGGGGGAGGTTGGACTCGCAGCTCAGCCACAGGGAACGGAAGGGCCTGGGCGGGGGCCTCTCTGAGTCCTGGGAGGGGGTTGCGCCACTGTCCCTGGGCTGTGCTCTTGTGGGGAGGGCTGGGTCTCTGGGGTTCTGCTGAAATGCTCCTCCCCCTCCCCCACAGAGCTGTGGGTGCAAGGAGAGGGGTGAGGACAGGCAGGGAGGGAGGAGTTTTTAAGGCACCCAGAGCTCCCCCAGGAAGCTCCCAAAATCAGGCAGTGAGCAAACGGTGTTCTGGATGGAGCTGCGCCCCCCCGCCCCCAGTTTCCCTTTGTCACCAGCCCCAGGGGCGATGCAGCAGCCGCCACAGCAGCGTGTATATTTAGTGTCCCCCCTGGCCCTGGCTCTCGGGTTTCGCTGAGATTGGCACCTGTGTGGTCAGCCAGCCCAGCTATTCTGGAGCCTGCGGTGGGAAGATAAGGCCAGGCGGCCTCTGCTTGGGATTAGGGAGGCGGATGGCATCTGCCCCCCCGGCAGCCCGAATGGCCCGGAATTCTTTCCGTTGAGATCAGCAGGCGGTCGGAGACGGCTGGCCAGAGCGATCTGAGGCAGGGGCGCCATGTGGCACCTCCGCGGGGCGGTTGGAGCTGACCTGCCTCAGCAGAGCACGAAGCTCGTGCAGTTCAAGCTGCGTTCTGCAGCTGGAGAGCAGGGGGCCGCAGCCTCCGTCGTCCCCAGTCGGAAGGTCCTGGTGGAGTCAGTCGGTGGGCCCTTAAAAGGAGAGCCGTGCTCCCGTGGGCCGGGCTTGCAGGAAAGCGGCCGGGACAGTGCCAGAGGGAGCACGGCCATGCGAAAGTCACGGGAGCCGAAGGGCATCTTGGTGGCAAGGGGGTGCTTGGTGCGGCTGGGGCTCCTTCCCGCCGAGACCCTCTGTTGCAGCCTCTGCCCCTCTTGCGCTGGCACGAGCTGGGAATTAGAGGGGGGCTCTGCCTACGGTCTGTTGCCACGCGTGAGGTAGGGGGGCCGAGGGGTGACGCGATGCTGATTTGGGCAGGGAAAGCGGCCCTGGAGTCTTGGGGGACCCTTGGAGAGCTTGTCAGAAGGCAGGTCTGCCGCTGGAGCCGGGGGGGGGCAGAGGCAGCCTGTCCAGCCTGAGGGTCTCCACGCCCTTCCCCCTCTCCCTGTGCCCCAAACTAGGCTGCCTCAGACTCCTTCGAAGACCGCATCGTGGCCCTCTGTGAGAAAATGATGCTCTCGCGGTCGTGGCCTCGCTCAGAGACCCTCGTGCACCACGTCAGTTTCCGGGGAATGACCCTCCTGCACTTGGCAGCCGCACAAGGCTACACCCACCTCATCGAGACCCTTATTAAGTGGCGGTGAGTCCCCTCTGCCTGGGAGGCCCTTTGGGGCCTCTTGGCCCAGACACCAGTGGGCACAGCTGGGCTCTCTGTGGAAGAGCTTCTTTTGCCCACAGATCTGTTCCACGAGGGACACAAAGCCCGTGCTGGCCCCTCCAGGTAGAGCAGTCAGGATAGGAAAGAACTTGCTGTATTGACATCCGGGGGGTCTCGGAAGGAGCCCTGCAGCCATCTAGTCTGGCCCCTTTCCAGTCCCGTCCAGCTGGAAAGGTCCCTTCCCTGAGCAGCTGTTACCTTCCCATGCAGAAATTGTCATGAGGCCTCCCAGGGCTTCCCCTGGATCGACCCTCTGCCCCAGCAGGGCTGAGTGCCCCCCCACTTCCCTCCACGGCCTTTGGGTACTCAGCATGTAGACCCTCCACCCAGCGTGGCAGGAACCAGGGGCTTTTCTCACCTAACGAGATCCTGGCTTGGACAAACTCTGTTGCATCCCAGTTCAGACCCTGCCTGAGTCCAGCCTGCAAGATCCGAGGGAGCAAAATTTTGCCCCTCTGAAATCGGGGTGTGAAGACCGAAAGGGGCCACATTGCCAAGGCTCTGCTCGAGCATCAGGGCAGGAGTGACCCCTGGTCTGGTTCCCTCAGGAATCTCAATGCCCAGAACCTGGACTTGGAGCAAGAGGTGGATCCCCTCAACGTTGATCATTTCTCCTGCACCCCCTTGGTGAGTGTCTCGTGGGGGTGTGGAGCACAGAGGGCTGACCCTATCCAGCCCTCCAGCGAGAGGGAGCAAGGGTCCGCTCGAGGGCCCTCCCCTCCAGTTCATTGGCGATAGAAGGCCGGTCTCATTCCTGTGCCCCCTCTTGCACCCCCCCTTCCTAGATGTGGGCCTGCGCACTCGGACACTTGGAAGCAGCCCAGCTGCTCTATCGGTGGAACAGCCAAGCCCTCGCCATCCCTGACTCTTTGGGCCGCCTCCCGCTTACTGTGGCTCGTTCACGGGGCCACGTCAAGTTGGCCACATGCCTGGAGGAACTGCAGCACCAGGAAGAGGCCCTCCCCGAACCTCTGGAGCCCATGGCAGATGTGCCTGGGGGTCCTGGCAAGGCCCGTGGCGGCCTCCATCACCCCACAGAAGTGCTGCATGTACCCTCTCCGCTCTCGGCCAGTCCAGACACAGGTAGGAGGGCTTCCTGTGGCCAAACGTCCGTGGCTCCCCGGCCCTCACTTGTGCCGTCCAGCCGGGATGCCTCGCGCCCTGGTGCTCGTGTCTGACAACTGGGCGGGGGGGGGATTTGAGATGGTTTTCTCTCCCATGGGGTGGTTTCGTAACAAAGATGCTGGAGGATGTTCCCAGCAGGCTACAGTGATGCTGAGGCTGAGGCATGCACTGAGCCCTGCGCCTCCCTCTGCCCTGCCCCTAGCCACGTGGGCAGTGGGGCAAGAATTTGGAGCAGGCTGTTTAAAAGCCAGCGGGCAGCTATTGCCCAGGAGAACTGCACTGCCTGGGCTTCCCACTCGCCCGACGATGCCCTGGCTTCCCAGGTTTTGGGAGCAGCTGGGTCTCTTCCGCAAGGAGAAGGGCTCTGTGCCTATTGGGAGGGCCCAGCCCTGACGCGCTCTTGCCCCCAGGGCTCAGCACCGCAAGCGGGGTCTCCTCCCCCTCCGAGCGCTCGGAAGGCTCCCTCTCCCTCACCTCAGCCTATTCCAGCGGGTCCGCCCTGCGGGAGCTCGCCGGCCTACAGCCCCAAAGCGCAGGGCGCCATGGATGTCTGCCAGGGCCCGGCACCCGGGAGCATGGAGGGCTGGTACTTGC